GCAAAGGGCATGGACAGTTAGCCACCAAAATCTCTGAACTTTACAACTTTATAATTGTTTATAACTAAACTATGATAAACTTAGGCCTCTATGAAATTCTTACTTCCTTACTAATATTATAAATCGGAAAGTGAGTTTGTTTGTTCCGACTTCAGGCCGTAGGTAACTACTAAACCGATTGCATTGAATTTTTGCAGACGTAAAGTTAGTAGTCAGAGGCCTTAGTACGAGTTTAATTTACGCTTAAAGTATTCGTAACGAGTACGCGTTTGGCGCTCTTATTGGCCGGCGCCAATGAAGCAACCAATCACAGCGCCGAACGCGTACTCGTTACGATTACTTTAAACGTAAAACTAACTCGTACTAAGGCCTCTGGATGAAATAATAGGGTACTTTTTATCACGAAAAAAATTTATATTCCCGAGGGAAAACAAAAGTGTTGGTATAGATGGCGTTGTATGTATTGGTATATGTCACATAGGCTACTTTTTATCCTTTTGTTACGCGAGCGAAGCCGCGGGTAAAAGCTAGTTATTTCTATACATCTCCTTGTCTTTTATTCCCTGAAGGAGAAGTATGAGGTTATCCTTAAGTTCGCGGAGTTTTAGGTATTCGCTAGAGAATATAATATAGTCAGTAAAATGCTTGAGGTATTCCACCTGGAAATATCGAATTAGAACCGATTTTATACATAATCTATGTAATTAACGGAGATTTTGAACAACAAATCTTAGAATTATATTATTAACTATTACATTTTCAGACATTTCTTTTTATTTTTTAAGGGGGGACAATCATCGAATGACTTCTCCCGCCCGGGTGAGGCGGGAGGGAGTGTCAGACTTTTACTGACTAAAAACCACCCCGTTCCTACTCCTGCACTTCAAGCCGGAGCCCCGGTAACCCGTTAGGTTCTCCGCGGCAAATTTTCAGACATTTAAACAGTCTTTGTGAACACTTTTTATTGAGAACTAGCTTTTACCCGCGGCTTCGCTCGCGTCACAAAAGGATAAAAAGTAGCCTATGTGACATATACCAATACACGCAGCACCATCTATACCAATACTTTTGTTTTCCCTCGGGAATAAATTTTTTCCGGAATAAAAAGTATCCTATTATTTAATCCGGACTTCTAACTTTACGTCTGTAATAATTCAAAGCAATCGGTTTAGTAGTTACGCCGTGAAAGCGGAACAAACAAACAAACTCACTTTCCGATTTATAATATTAGTAAGGATACATTGAATTTCAGTTATCATGTTAACAGTGAGCATTATGAAAATTGGAAAATTCATGAAATTCAAGTTGAAATCGACAAGCCTTTTAACCAAAGAAAAATGTACCTACCTCTAGATTCTTTGAAAATTTATCATTCATTTAAAGTCATAACAGTATATTCACACATATTTCTATTGCTGACTGTACTAAGAAACTAAATCGCCATATAACTATTATGATCTTACCACAGACTATGACAGGCCTAATTGTATGTTAATAAGTTGTCAATGTAAGTTAATTAATATTGTATATTGTATAGTCCTTATAAGTGGCGACAGGGTGATTGATATGGTTGTAATAGTTCTAATTATTGAGATTTAAACAAAGCTATATTGATGTTTTAGTATTTTAATTAAGAGCCGGACTATAATTGTAGCATTTTAATTAACAGCCTGATTGTTCTTATGAACAGTGATTTTTAAACTAGGCAATTTGTAAAGACTTTGTTTATGAAGCGTAGGTCCTATCCTATATATGAAGTCGCGGAGAACCTAACGGGTAACCGGGGCTCCGGCTCGACGTGCAGGAGAAGGAACGGGGTGGTTTTTAGTCAGTAAGAGTCTGACACTCCCTTCCGCCTCATCCAGGCGGGAGCAGTCATTCGATGATTTTCCCGCCTTAAAAAAAAATCCTATGTATGAAGACTTTCTTCTGTGTTGTGGGTGTATTTACTAACATAAAAACATACTGCCTTACAACATACTGCTTACAAACATACTACGAGCAAGGAAATTGGTCGGGCAAGGTTCGATTCCCGGGTCGAGCAACGTATTACTGGGTAGTCGGGCAAGGTTCGATTTCCGGGTCGGGCAAAGTATTACTGGGTTTAAAAAAAAAATCTCAGTAGTACCACGGAGTCTGGAAATGTGCCCTGTATATGACAATAGGCTCACCCCCTATTATATGGGACTCTTAAGATAAATAGTGAAAAGTGGGTGTTACATTGTACAGTAGCATTAAGTGCCGTAATGTGCACCTCTGCCTACCCCTTCGGGGATAAAAGGCGTGATGTTATGTTACTAATGCGTGATGTTATGATGATTATCCCATGTAATAGGGGGTGAACCTATTGCCATATATCGGGCACAGTTCCAGACTCCGTGCTACTACTAAGATATTTTTAAAAAAACCCAGTAATACATTGCCCGACCCGGGAATCGAACCCGAGACCCTTTGCCCGGCAGTCGCACTTGCGACCACTACCTACGTAGGTAAAGATATAACGATCCCTTCAAAACAATAGATTTAACTTAAGTACCAAGTTGTACGCAATTGTAAAACATATGACAATAGTTTTGTAATTAGATCTCTGTACAGAATAATTGTGGTGAAGACCCACCATCTTAGTTTACAACCGCGGGGATTAATGTTACATAACATGTGCGTAGTTTGTCTTCACATTGTACTAGGAGACCAGGAACAATCAATGGTAACCTTTATCAGTTTACATCTATAGATAATAATGTGAGACTGTATGTTGTACTCAAAAACAAGCTTAAGCAATTGTTTAGTAATGATTTTGTTCCAAAAATAAGGACTGGGTGTAAATAATTCTTCAATTGGGTAGTTTCCAGGGCATCAAAATAAAAAATCTAATTAGTCCGTCAGTTAGATAACAAAAAAATATTAGACACGTATTTTTTTATTTTCTCGTATTAAGTTGCAATACTTAGATAAAATGGCGCTAAGTTAAGGAGTGGGAGGTCGTTACGTCATAACGTGCTACAAAACTGTGACACACTGTGACGTCACACGATATTTCAAAATAATATATTGTCGAAAGTTATTAATTTTGTGAGAAAAGAAAAATAAACACGTCTAAAGTTTTAAATTAATGTACCAGACGGACATTAAAATAAAATTTAGGAAACTACCCTATGACTTTGAGTAGGTAATGATTCAAAACATAGGTAATATTAAAAATTAACCAGCATCTTCACCTGTATTAAATTAAAAAGATTTGTCTCCAGTAAGTGCCAATTTTACTCCAGCAGAGTCGTGGTGTCCTCAAGGTTTAAGACGCCCGCTTCTCATTCATGAGGGTGCGCGTTCGAAACCTACCAACAGCAAGTACAAATGTGACTTTACCGAATTATATGTTCTTTCTAAAATTATATAGAGACCACTGACAAACGGTGAAGGAAAACATCGTGAGGAAAGTTAAGCTTATAAGTTCTAATCATAAGTTTGAAATTGCCAATTCGCATTGAGCAAGCGTGGCATTTAATGGTCAAACCTTCTCCGTGGTTTTTGGTCAGCAGTGGCTACTTTATAGGCTGCTAATGATGCTAAAGTGCTAATTAAAATTGCAAGCACCCACTCACTGGATGCAAGAAGCCAACCGGCCTATCTGGAAGTCATTGAAAGAAGCCTAAGCGAGGCAATAGATGTTTCATGGCTGATACAACGAAAATCATGAAATGATAATGTAATAATATAGATACTTACAAAAGTAGTCTATGTTTCTCTTAGAAAAGTAGACTTTTCAATAATGAAAGTAAATTTTAAAATATTCGGATAGTTTCAGAGCCTATTCAGTATAAACAAACATTCATTATTTCCTCTTTATAGGTAGTTTTAGTTATTCCTCAAAGTATTATTACGTAGGTAGGGCTGTCACAGTTCAACGTCTTTTTAATATTCACGTAATTTGAAGCCTTTTTTTAAGGAAAATGTTGAATAGATAACCTAAATCCGCCATTGTGAATCTGACTTCTAAAACTGCACTGCTGCGCAAAGAGATGCGCGTGGTTTAGATTCTCACACGGAACAATTCTTTGTGTAATCCACAAAATGTATTTGTCTTACTTCTTAAGTGTGTTGTGTGTGTTTGTCCTATCAGTTTTAGAGTATTTTAGACTTTAGTATTTTAATCACCAAATAGAAAGACTTAGTAATAATTTGTGCCATCAAAGCATCACAATGTAACCACGTGGTGCAGTTATTATTAACCTTACGACCGAGTAAAAAGGATTTAATTTTCCTTAACATTAGTATTACTATAATACAAAGCTAGATACTTATATAACTCTCGCTCATTCCTATTCTCCTGGTAGCTGTAAATCACGACGTGCTTTACAGCAAAACTTTGCAGCGTTTCAAAAGCATTCAACAAGTGCGAAATCAGTTTTCAGTCCTTTACAACAAGCTTTAGTGAAAGAACTTTCTAGAATTTTAACGCCATTGTAACAATGTTTACAGTAGTATGTATATGAAATACAGATATATGTTATGTAAGTGCCTCAGCATCCTATTTTTAGGGCTCCCGGCAGGTGAAATAGAGCTAGAAAATCGGTTATACCTGTCTAGTAATCAATACCTTGAAGGACACGGTTGTTGCACTGCTTGTAATGGAAAAAAATATTAAATCAAAACGTTAATATACATACACACTTTCAATATTAATGGCCCAATTAGGCTTCTCTACATACCAATACTCAAGAAATCGTTTTCACAAATTTTTTATCAATAGTCAAGACGGCGCAAATTAAAAATTTAAATTGATTACAAACAAATGTTTTCATTTTGGTCATGAAACGTAACGCACGAAAAGGGTGGAGATGCAAGTGGGAGACGGCGCGATTCGCGCATGCGCTGTCCCGCGGGAATGCAATATTGTGTTATCAGTGTGCCATAAATCACGAAGACGGATGTCCGCCACCGCGCGCTTTAAGTTAAATATTCGGACGCGTTTGAATCACTTCAAACGAAGAATTAAGAAAATGGCGTCCAGATTCATTCAAGACCTCAGCGTAGATACGGGCTCCATCGCCAACATCGTAGATTATCCACGGAATGGTTTGAAGGTCAGTCTGAATGCCACGGATTATGAAGCCGAGAGAGTCCGCAAGGAAGCTCAAGAGCCGAAGAAAGGTGAATTCAAGGAAGATAATGAAGATGTTCCCCATGGTGATGAAAAAGATATTGGTGATGATGGTGACATCAATGGTGATGGTGATAAAGTGGAGAATAGTGATGATGCCGAGGAAACTGCAGCAGTCAAGAGCAGTGATGACCCTATGGAGGGTGATATAATTAAGAAAAGTGAGGGTCCTGAAGAGGCCTTGTCAAGTGTAACCAAGAGAGGTGATGAACTGGAAGGTGATGAACTAGAAGGCGTTCAACTTGAAGGTGATGAAATCAAAGGCGTTCAACTTGAAGGTGAAGAAATCATCAAAGGCGTTCAACTTGGAGGTGATGAAATCAAAGGAGGTGATGTAATTGGCGCAAATGATGAAGCTGATGAAGGTGTTGAAGTTGAGGAAGCAGATACTGGTGATGAACCCAACGAAGGTGATGACCCCATGGGAGATGATGATGAGGTTAGTGACGAATCGGAAGATGATCAATCAGAGGGAAGTGACGAAAGTGATTACGATGACGACACCGATGACGATGAAGCTCTGGAAGGTGTTGCAGCCAATGCAAGTGAACAAGTTGATGGAATTGAACTGGCCAACATTGGTCGAAAAGTCAAGGAGGAAAGCGATGAAGAAGAAAGTGACACTGATGATCAGGATAGTGATTTTGAAGAGGAGCAACCCAAGTCCGATAAGGGATTCATCAAGGTAATTACCCTCAGTCAATCATTTGGAGTAATCATTCAAGGTTCTGGAGCTACATTGTCTCCACAAACTAAGAGGAAGGCTAGGTCAGGCAAATACATTATGATTCAACTGAAGAACGAACCAGATATACCTAAACAGAGTAACGTGGTGATCGAGCTGCAGCCAAACGTCTGCGAACTCTTCGGTAAGGATGCTTACGATGCAATGGAGAAGGGAGACTGGACGAAAATGATTCAAGTTGCTAAGAAGTACGGATATCCATACCCTGAGATGCTGAACAAGATACGTGCCAGCCAGGGTAAGGCTCCCATCAAGATAAAGTCGAGAAATTAAAGACAACAGAAAAATAAGTGACATTCAGTGCTTAAACACCCAAAATAGATACACGTCAAAACAAAAATATCGGCAAATTCCAATAAAAATACTTTTTAATCCTTGTTTCGCAGAACTAAAGGTTACCGCACAGCGGAATGTCGCTTAGGTCAAAAATAATTTCAAATATTATCGCTTGATTGTAGAGTAGATGTTCTAATTGTCTGTATCCAATGTAATCGCATTTGTGTCTATTTAAAGTTAATAAAGGCTTCGTAGTAACCAGATTAAAAATACAAGTGTTGTGATTTCGCACGCATAGTGAACAAACAGTGTTAAAATTACACTTTTTCATAAACATTCGCAGACAAAAATGTTTTTAGAAACACTTCCAATTAATATCATAAAGATCGCCCACTGAGTTATACCCCTACATACACACATATAGCTTTTATAGACAGACATGAATACCTTCGCCAGACAGATCAATCGCTCAGAGGGCGCTACTAACACAGAAACACAAAGTACCAAACTTCACTATAACAAGTTAACGTCCTAACCAAAATGAACCTTAACTTCATCAGAAAAATAGAGTCCATATTTCAACGCAATATTCAAATTCAAATTCTGGACAATGAAAATTCGACTTTAAAATAGCAGTTTTACAGTGGTTTGTTGTGTGTGGTAAGTATTGAACTGCATTCCGGTTTCCTGAGTGGTGAAGGAGACCGAACCTGAAAGGTGGGACGTGAGGAAATGATACACGATTAACTCTGTAGTCTGCATCTATTGCGGTGTAAGTATGAGTAAGTATGAGTTTAGAGCAAAAGTTTATTTAATTCAGAGGTTTTGTTCATTGACAAAATTAGGGAAAACCTTACCAAAGGTTAGGCATACCAAAGGAGAATTTCAAACTCGAAAAAAGCAATACTTTGACTTCAACCGCAGTTCAGATAGAAATACAGAGCGCAGGCATAATTTTAGACATCACAGAGAATTGTGAAATTAAAAATCAATACGTTGATGTCCATCGGTATCTAGGTTAACTGAACACGATTCTGGAATAGAAAATTTAAATTCAAAGTTAAACATTCTAATGATGCATTCAATTAATAACTAAATATATACAACTTAACATACAAATTAAATAAAAAAAAACTAAAAATTACTATTTACACACAGCATCGAAAAATTCGTCCGTATCGACGTCAATAGGGAAATTAAAGTTAAATAATTTATTAACACTGACTCTATAACAATTCAAGTTAGTATTTATTGCTTAGAAGTATAGCTTTTGACTCTTTTAACATCCTAAACGCCATGGGGGTCACCGCTGACCGACATTAGTGCAGAATTTTCTTTAAAAGCTTTCTATTGGCAGTCAAAGGTATGAACACTATCTATAATTAACTATATACACTGTACACTGTGATTTCAAATATCGCAGCTAATCTCAATGAGCCTAATAAACTGCAGTATTGACATAAAAGGGCATGATTATATTGCTTCATACACACTCTGTCCTTTCATACTCATGATTCGATCGGTCAGCCGCCATGACCGACGAGAGGTTAAGCGTAGGACGTTTTTCTTGGACGGGGGTGAAACACCTTCAAACTTCCTGGTCTAATCATCAGTCTATTAGTAATCTTTGGACAAAAGTAACTCATTGGGAGTTTTTCAATACAAAAATAGATCGATATATACGTCATAGAATCTTTGTTACCGTCGTGTTAGGCCTTTGTTTATATTATTGATCGACGCTTGCTTGTCCAAAATGGAACAGAACAGGCACTATTCTAAAACTTGTTAATCTAATTTAGTATTTGATCCTATCAGAATATTCTCCCCATCAGAAATGCCTTCATCAGATTCGAGACATCGAGTTTTATATCCCCTAAAATGGTACTCCTAAAGCACCATTTCTCAGTTTAAAGTATTTTAAAACGTACAGAACTCATAAGTAAAGACTTAGAAAACTAAAATAGTTAATAATTATTTATTTAGGACATTACTAGTTCGTTCGTAAAAGTAAAATCATGTCATCTGCCTTTTTAAAAATGACTCATTTCGTTTAGCAGTACTAATCATTCACATTTAGTTGAGCAAACATGTTTTCTTTAATAATATCACAACGATTTTCCCATAAAATTAGTCACTCGACAAAAATGTCTGCTGATAAAAACCTTTACTATTTATTCATACTGGCTGGTGCTGAAAATCAGTGCTGTGGACTCGAGCCTTCGTGCCCGGACCACAATATTAATTTGGGCTCCGGTCTTTTGCGCAGCGACGCACCTTGAACTTCTGTGTTTACTTGTATTGTTGTTTGTGTATGTGTCGCGGCGTAATAAACGGATTTTCTTTCTTTTTTTCTCATTGGTTGTATTAAGGAAGCAGAAAAATTTTGTATTACAATAATTTCAAATCAGTTTCTTTTAATTTATTGATAACTCGCAAAAAAATTGTTTATATTTTTAAATGATTTATAGAAAGCTCTCATAGAAATAAAAATTTATTTTTTTCTGTATCAATATCTTAATAATCGACTACAAAATCAATTTATGTTACTGGCAACAATAAATTACCGAAGTTTTTTTAAATCTGGCAACGATATGTAGTCCTTACGATGACAGGCGCCATGTCCGCCATCTTGGGGACGCACTTGATCAAACGGGATGATTTATTTGTTGGTTATAAATGCTTACCTACTGTTTAAGATTCTAATAAGTGGCTGTTATGAGAATTGAGTAGATCAATAACTTTTTGTTTAAAATAGCTTGTGATTGACCACATTTTTAACATGTTTTATTTGCCTCAAAAATATCTACTAAAGGAGAACTCTTTTGCTTACCTCGTGGAACTAATGTTATGTTACATAGGTATTATTTAATTTAATATCTAAATCTATAAAGAACAATTCACACAAAACAGAAATAGAATTAAGTATACTATAGTTACGTAAATTCCTTTAATGAACATTGGCATCAGTCATAATTCACATAATATTATTGAATAGTGGCATAAAACCATAATTTATTTCCCCTTACAATTAATTTAGTGATGTTTCTGCGTCACAGACTAAGACTAGAACTTTGTTTAACAGTAAAATGACCTCATGAGCACAAATTGACAAATTATTCTTAATGGCTTGGTGGTGTAATTACAAAGAATTCACAATTACGGTACTTATATAAATATTTAAATATAGTTTGTAGTTCCTTAAGACTTACAGATTTGTGCTTTTACCTTGCCACCTAAATTAGGAAGCTATAAAAATAACTATGAACTTTTCCCTATAGGATAAAAATACTTCATTTAACTTCTACAATGTTTACTTATCTTCAAACATAAACACTAAGAAATAATTAATTTGCATCGCTAATTCTAAAAGTCGGTAATGACCTGTAAATCTACGTAAAATCGGTCTTATTTTTACCGATGACCACTTTTACTGACTTTTACAACTTTTTAGAGTTTACGCAGCTGCTTGTTATAGTACTTCAGAGGCCGTGAATCTTTTAGGTAACTGAAGAAATGAAGTTATTATAGTTGTAATCTACAAAATAACATAACATAACATATCGGTTTTTATCCCCGAAGGGGTAGTCAGAGGTGCACATTATACCACTGTATAATGTAACACCCACTTTTCACTATTTATGTTATGAGTCCCATGTAAAAGGCGTGAGCCTATTGCCATATACCGAGCACAATTCCAGACTCCGTGCTACTACTGAGAATATTTTAAAAACCTAGTAATACTTTGCCCGACCCGGGAATCGAACCCGAAACCCCTTGCGGCAATCGCACTTACGACCACTCGGCCAACGAGGCAGTCTCTACAAAATATCGATATTTTTCATTTTGAAAATTTCATTCTGAAAAATATTAAAAAGCAGCTGGCTATGGTTTACAACTGGGATGATGACAGGGTATGAAAAAAAAGTCCGTAAGTTAGGCAATAAAAAAATATTAGACACGTATTTTTTTTATTTTGTCGTATAATAAAACAATACTTAGATAAAACGAATCAAAGTTTAGGAGTGGGAGCTGAAACGTTATTTCTACGTATAAAATGTACATACAAGTGACGTCACGCGACATTTCAAATCAATATATCGTCGAAAATATGGGATTCTGTAAGAAAATAAAAAATACGTGTGTAATTATTTAAAATAATCTACCAGACGGACATTACAATAAAAATTAGGCATCTACCTTATTATAACATTTCGTTATTTTATAATAATAATTATTTGTAGTGAGAGTCTTTAAAAACATTAGATTCAATAATAAGAATGAATTGTATACTATTGTAAACAACTATAAAACAGATAAATTACGTGTCTAAGGACGTTAAAAATATAAGTCGAACATAATGTCACTTAGAAACGATTGAAGCACCAAAATATCAGTGGGTTATTTATGTGTGCGTGTGTAATGCGTAACCACGTTACCAGACTTAAGAGAATGATAGATGTCCTTCGTGTCGATGTGTGTACGTTTTGCGTGTAAGTCTATAGTATCCAGACACCACAGTCATTGTTTCAAGAGACTGTGCCCACCTTTCTTCAATGTCCTTGTACGTGTCATTTTTCAGTTATGCAAACGAAAAAGTTTTCCATCTCTGAAACTATTTTTCGATCAAGCCAAAACTTTTTGAGGTAATGAATCATTGTATCTACTTTCTGAAAGATTTATTAAGGAAGCATACATAACAATATTAAATACTCGACTGGCTACTAACCAGATTTTACCAAACTATACGTTAATATTCTATTTAAAGTTATGATGGAAACATCAGAAATATTTCATAAAACAACGTAATACGTGGTCAAAACATTTCAGTTTTTTAATTTACAGTTCTTTGTTAATAAAGTAATATTTCCTTTCATAATTTTGTAGACTACGTCATTGTTGCGTGAAGCGGATATACCTTTGACAAGAACTTATGTATTACGGTTAACAGTATTTATGTGTGTTTAAAATTTTATAAATAATATGTTTCATTTAGTAAA